TTTTCAACACCATGCCATTTTAAATAATAATGTTGACAAAATAATTATCCAACCAAGACTATAAATAATATTTTATTGAATTTTGCTGTTCTTCGTTTACCATCGTAACGAAATTTTGAAATTTCAGGATTACGTTTACCAAATTTACGTCGGCACGGGCGTTTTACATATAAACCTCCGGCACGGTCCGAGATCTAATCCTCTATTAACATTAGTAAGAATAAAATTTTTGTAACATCATATATATTGTATGATACTGTATGGCATCATACTATGTATGACATGATAATTATACTGTATGATATTAAATATAATGGAATGTTATTCTAATTTCACGTAAATTATCTTTGTATAAAATATTATTAGAAATAATTTTGAAATTATGAAAGGAACTTATTAAAAATAATATGTTAAATTTTTCAAAATTTTCATTGATTTCATTTTAAATACTAATTATAGGCTTTGCTACAATTATATTAAAAAGTTCAATTTTTACGTACACCCACATATATTGGTATTGGGGAGTACATTAAGCACCATGTTCTTATAACCATATATTTATATATAAATATAGCATACATACACATATGTTGTTAAATAATATTCTTAAATATTTTTAAAATATTATCCATTTAACCGTATGACAGGAGATTATTTATTTTTTTTATGATTTATATAAAAATATTATAGAAAATGGAAGGGAGAGATTTAAAAAGGATATTTTAATTATCTACTCATCAAATCAATCATTTTTTGATTTTATGTTTTTCTTTACTTTTCATATTTTTTTTTGCTTAATGCATGTATCCTTTTTCATTCTTTTTTATGATTTTATAATAATAATAGTATGTTATTGTTGCTTTTTTATTTATTTATTATTTAAATGTTTATAACTATATCTCTATATACTTATATATACAATTATGCTTAAATGTATTAATAAATAATTTTATAATATTGCAAAAATTAAAATATGCTTTTTTTTCTTTCAATATTTTATTTTATATTTGAAAACATATTTTATTCAATAAAATATTTTGATCATATCCATATAATATAATATTGATGACTATATAAATGATAGTAGATTAATATGCATTATAGAAAAAAAGAAAAACTAAAAAGAAACTAGAAAAAAAAAAATATTAAAAGCCTAAAATGGCTTTTCATAAATCTTCAATATTTTATTTCAATTTAGATTATCCTGAATTTTAAATCAAAGGAATATATAAAAATTCATAAACGAAAAATTAAAAGAAGAAAAATATAAGCATAAATATGAAAACTTTAATGCCTTTACCAGCTTTTTACAGGAAAAAAAATATAAAATATTTTTTTTCTATAAATAAAGACCCGGCATGTAAACATTTTTTTTGTGCCTATTTGCATATTATATAAGGTGCATTTTCATATTACCAATACGTATATAAAGTTAAATTTTCATTGCATTTTAATTTATTTTAATATTTTATAAATAAAAACCATAAATGTTATGCAAAATGTCTATTTGAAATGTTTACAAAAATTATTTTAGAAAAAATTTATTTAAAGCGATTCTATAATTAAAAATTTTTTTTAATGATTAATTCACTAAGTTTATGGGAAATCTATAACTAAATCTATAACTTAAATTATTATTACCACTTTTCCAAAAAGAACCAAACAAGAATTGAAATCAAAAGCCTTTATTAGTCATTATCATTCTGTCCGCCCGTCCGTGTGTCTGTTCTCAAAACTTCTACACCCGTTAAGATAATGGAGCTAAAATTTTACTTAGAAGTAGATTCTTATTTCTGTCCTAGAATATCTCACACATCAAAAATTTTAAAACTTCAATTTTTCCATTATTTATTGGGTCGAAAGCTGAAACATTTTTTAGATTTCGCAAATGCAGAAAGGTATTGATACAATTCATTTAGCAGTTCTTCTCAGTATAGTTGAATATTGAAATGACCATTAAAAAAATTAGCCGTTATCTATAAATAATAATTATTTTATACTGTAAGTTGTAGATGTCAGATATTTTAAGCAATAATAAAAATATCGCCTAACGAAATTTATAAAATTTGATTATTCAGACCTTATGTTTGCGAAACTGCAACCTTTTTCAAAATTTTTATAAAATCAAAAATTATTTATTTTAATTATCTTACTTAACTATCCAATTCGACCATTATGTTAACGGTTCTTAAAATTTTTTTTTTTGCTCATCCTAAATTTATGCAATAATTTGATACATTGTGGAATATGAACAAATGTAATTTAAATAATGTAGTAGTTAGTTTTCGATCTCGAAATTGAAAAAATAGCTTAATAGTGAGCAATATAGATGTCTGAATTCTACTCATGGCGGAAATTAATTATTAACAAAGCCTTGCTTGACAACATATTGAAAAATATCATTCATATTATTCTCTCTGTACCTCCTAAGCAATAGTATTTTATTTGAGGAAGGTCTTTTACAGTTTTACTTTTAAATCACAGCCGAACAATAATATGTATAGGTTCTTTTACTTTAACAGATTTAAATTCAATTGCAACGTGGATAATTATGTTGTGGTTATTTTGTTGCCTTTCTTAATAGAAAATAGGTTTTCATAAAATAAAGGCTTACCGAAATAATAATAATAGCTAACACCAATAATATTATTAATCAAGTTATAAAATATTAAGCAGTTTTAAGCAAAATAACCGATTATATTAAAATATTTTCTTTAATACTTTTAGTATACAAGTTTACACATACTAAACTAATAAATTTTGTAAAAGTTTAATTTTAGTTCCTTCTTATTGGATAACATTTTTAAAGATTTCTGCAAATTTCCAAAAGAAATCTTTATAATGTGGTGTTTCTTAGTTTCATACCTTTGGGGTAAGTGTGCTATATAACATTTACAATATTCTGTAATAGTTTCTTTTAAGGATTCCCACATTTTATTTAATTAGGATTCAATACAAAACAAATTATTTCTTAATTCTTCTTATATACTTTAAGTATACAAAAAAAAAAAAGTAATATAGTCGAGTTTTAGTTTTTTATGTTTGTTATTAACAAACTTTTCTTTTTTTTTTTGGAACACGTACTAGGCAGACAGACAAATAAATAAATATGTTTATTTAAAGAATTTCAAAATTATATTCAAACTTTTACATACCTATACAAATATTCTTTGTGTATGTAGTCTTAAAATATAAACAAGGATTATAAAAGAATATATGTAATATATATATATAGATGTATGTATTGAAAATTTATTTCTATATAAATATAATATATGATTTGTTTAGATGTGAGAGTATTTTCATTATAAAACGGACGGTATATTGTAAATATTATATAAAAAATATTTGTTATACTTGATTCCCTTAACTATATACCAATAAAAGGATTAAGTTAATATTATATACGTATACATAATACATATGCTTTTATTCGTTGAAATCAATTTGAAATATTTTTATGGTTGTAAAGGCAGAGCAAAAATTTAAAACTCTGCAAAAAGAAAGAAGAATATGGGGGGGAAAAAAAACGAAAACATAAAATACAAAATTTTGAATAATTTTTCATATTTTCCAGCTTGTGATTTATTTACGACATTTATATGACTTTATTTTACTTAATCCTCCATATGTGAATGCAATCATACACACAAACTTATTTGAAAATTTTGCAAAAAATTAAAATTAATCAACATAAAAAAAAAAAAGAGAGAAAAAAAAGGACATTCTAATAAAGATTGAATTAATATGATTTTTTTTTTTTTTGAATTTATTTTTTATCCTTTCTTTACTGGGTTTTTTTTTTAAAGTTTGATTTTGCTTTTTGAATAAACTATATTATAGCTTATGGGTGAAATTTATTGTGTATATAAAGCATTTTATTTATGAAATATAAAAGAAAGCACACACGGAAAAAATAACTGTCATATTATAGAGGATTACATAACGATTTTGAAATATTATGTACTACGGTTTGATCCTTCGACATTTAATTTACGATTTTTGTTGCTCATTTTTCATTTTTGGGCGTGAAATTTTTTAGTTGAATTTTGAATTTACGCGTGAAACAATATTTTATTAGTTTTATTAGTGAAATTTCAACAATCCTCCTCATTTGTCCTCATTTGTGTAATAAAAATTTTGGACGACAAAAATGTTTTTCGTATCACATACCCACACATCGCTAAATAATGAGTTCCTTAAAACTGAATCACTAAGTAATAGTTATATTATTTATTATAAAAAATTTAATAAGCATTTGTAGTTAAAAGTTGGTTATGCAAGTCGGTCATGCAAGTCAGTCATGCCAATTGCTTATGCATGTAGATCATACCGTTTTTTTATTAAGGCCGTCTTTTTGCTGTCGCAAAAAAAAATATTGTAAATTGAATAGAATTAGAAGAAATAAATGAAAAAGATCCACTTCCCTTCTGTTTTAAATAAATGAAAAAGATTCCACAATTCCGTATCCGGTTTCCTCGTCATGGTAAACTTGTGGAAATTTATGGGATATCTTGTGAAATTATGGTATTTACTTATATAAAACACACTGTTTCTCTGTTTACAACAAAAACTGTTACTTTGGAACGATTTACATTACCTTTGGATATTTTTTTATCGGAAAACTTTTTAAGATTTCAAGTATTTTTTAAAGCTCAGGAGAGATTTTTTTCTCAGACTCAAAATATAGCGCAAATTTTGTTAATATATTGATCACAAATTGCAGATAATGAGTATCAACCATATTTCACCGACGAAGAAGGTTCAAATAAAATTTTCAACTAATAGTATAAAATCGTATAACAAATTTAAGGATGTTTTTTAGGATATTGAAATGGTATTGGCCCGGTGCATAATAATAGGTTTGCACCATATGAATTCATCGCAAACTGAAATTTTCATTATAATTAATCATCCATATACGTATTATATCTACAATAATTAATTAAACTAAAATAAATTGTGATTTTTAAATTTAAACATTATGAATATTAAATTACCTGGATTTGATGCATTTATATGAAATTCGCATATATATTTGTTGGGTCCTTTTGAAAAATCATATGAATCTGAATCAGCAAATAAAATATCAACATCTAATTCAAATCCTCGATTAGGAATACCACTTTGTAATGGAGCAGAAAATGGACTTGAATGAAATGCAACTAACATTTCTGAACCACTGTAATTATAAAATAAATAAATGAAAATTTTTGTTTAATTTCAGTTTATTAAATTAGAAATTATTTAATATATGAGAAATAAATAAACAAATTTTATTTATTGTACAATTAATTTAAAAATTTAATAATAATTATAAAATCATTGAAAAATAGATTTTGACTACTAGAATACTATGAATTTTTTAATCAGTTTGTTTTCCCACTCTTAATAATTGACATATTGTCCGTATTTTGTTACGTCGATTTAGATAATACATTTTTATCCTCATGAGCTTATTTAAGATGGTAATTTCAATGTAGCTGAATGAATATGAATGGGTTCTTTTATACGGTGTTTTGTATATGGCACTCTTATAATATATGAGCAAAGCCGAACATATACGTATAGGATATTGTAATTTAGAGTATTATAGGTATATATATTTAGAGAGTTATATGGTCGTGTCTCATGCAATATAGCATAACTCTCAAAACAGCATAACTTTTTAAGTTCTACACAGTCTTTAAAATTTTAATATATTAACAGAATTGCTGCTACTATAAGTTTTAATAATATTTTAATTTCTTGATTCTTACAATTTTGGACGACGGAAAATTATTAAATTTCGTCATCATAATTAATGTTTGGAATCTGCTGGACTAGCATAACCTGCTTGTCTTTTATCAAAATTTTAATATTAAATATAAATTAAATCATCGAAATTTTTCATACGAATGTTGAAATTCTGAAATTCAAAAATTGTATGGTTTTCCAAGCTCAAGTATAATCTCTCATCAGATTTAATTCATTCATAGAATAATTAATAATAAAAATATTCAAAATTAACAATGAAATAAAAAGTAGAGTAAAAGTTTAAGAATTTTCTTAAAATAAGTTATAAATCTTTCTTTTTAAAGTAAACATGGTTGTCATTTATAAAGTTTTCTACAAAATCAACACTATGTTCTTAATTAAAATCTTTAACGAATTTTTTCCTGAAATACAGAGAGAAAAAAAAATAAAAATCGTTTAGATTTTTCGTTTGCACTCAACAAGATTTTTCAAATATAACCCTTCTTTAAATATTAATTTTGTGATTAATGAATTCATTCTGTCTTCCAGAAAAATGTAATCCTACGTACATGTATACATACATATTATATTATATAGTATGTATAGGAAATTTTCTATTAGACGACATTTTTCCAACTTTAAATTCATTGAAAGGTTTTTGGACCGCAATATAGACGTATGTATAAACGTTATGTGGATTTGTTAAACAAATTTTTTATATTTCTATTAAATGACATTTAATATTTTGTTATATAGGACTTGTATAGACATATACATACATTCATTAAGATTACTTTAGAAAATGTGGTAGTATTCTGAAACAACTTTGAAAGAAATGAGACTGATATATTATAGAACTGGACAGTTTTTTTTTTTTTCCTCTCTCTATAAATTCTTTAATAATAATATAAAAATATAAAATTTGTAGCAAATGTCAGTGTTGTCAATAATCTGAAATTCTAGTTGACAATAATGTCAACGTTATTTTTTAAAATTTCTGTCCATTTTTCTCATTAGCAATGTTATACATAAGTATAACATGCATTGTTCAACTAGATACGTATTATATTTATGTTAGTTAAGTATATAACTGTTATACAATTATAACAGTTCAATTAAATACAATGAACTTAAATTTAATAAGAGAAACTTTCATGGAATCAATAAAATTTGAAAATAATTTAGATTTTTTAAGAGAGGAATTTCATGGCCTTTTTTTTTGAAATTTTAATTTAACTATAATAAGAGAAATCAAGGTATTAAATAAAGCAAGATTTTTATTCAAAATTCAGTTAAAATAAAAATATTATAGAACCAGCTATAGTGTACTAAGGTCCGGCTCTGACTAATTCGGCGCCTTACGCGCCTTCATAAAATTGCGCTTCTGTCTCTCTAAACACTGCCTCCCTCTGTTATCAAAGCAATCTACCCGTTTTCAAAACAATGTGCAATATGCGATAAACCTTGCAAATTGCGCATAATAATCAGTTCCATTACATGTTTTCCAAAAATGTAGCAAAACATTTTTATTTTTTAAAATTTAGTCTTTTTTGTTTTAATTTTCAATGGTGCCGCCATTTTCCGCTGGCCATTGCGGGTTCTTACTTTACATATATTCTAGATCCGGCTCTATAATGGTACCAACAAAATAAGCAGAACAACATAAATAAGCATATTGGTAATATAATGGTACCAATAAATAAGCAGTTTTCATTTCAACTTAAAACCGAGTAAAACCCACTGAAAATGTATGTCACTTTTTTTGAGTTGAAAATTCAGTGAATCACTCCTTAAAGTTTAAACTAATCCTGTAATTAATGTATAATAATTATTAATATGGTTGCCAACTTTTGACCTAAAATATTAAGATTTACTAAGTAGGATATACTTTTTCTTTTGAAATTGCTTTCAATTTTCTAAATGAATGCTTATCCATCTTTGTCTCTCTGGCAACATTATTTATCAACTCATTTATAAAATATAAAAAAAAAAAAAACCTGGTAAAAAAATAAGAAAGAGAAACAAAAGTATAATTACATGTCCGTCATCTGGCAGTGGTTTCAGTTTTAACAGATTTCCATTCATTTTTAGCCCTAAACTTTTTAAGGATATTAAGGATTGGAGTTTGTTTTTGTTGACCTTTTTTTCTCTTTATTTTTGCTTTCGTTCAAAAGTGACTAATTTTTTTTTTTTTGTTTTGATCTCTTTATATTTTTCGTATTATTTTTTTTCTTGTTTTTTTGTGCTTTGTTTCTCTACTTTTCCTGTTAATAACATTATAAAACTTAGCCTAAAAGTAAATAACTTTTTATTACTTTTCATATGGTTTACCATTTAGTTTATTTTATGAATGTGAAAGAGAAGTAAAGAGAGTAAAAATAAAAGAAAATGAAATATGTATAAAATTGTTCTTTTTTCTCTCTCTTTCACTCTTTTCACTTCAACTGCATATAATAACAAAAAAAAAAAACGTAAAATAAAATCACATTCAGAGGCAGGACTAAAGAGAATCAGGGAGTAAAACAAAAAAAAGGAAAAAAAAAAAATTATACTCATTAAGAATGTAAATAACGTGATTAAGTAAAAATTAATATCAGTTATGAAAGATGAACTGGACCTTTCCAATGGGTGGATGGTTAGTTTTTTTTTTGAGATTCTTGTATTTTGAATGAAATGAAATTTATTAAGGGAATTTAATATTTTTTCTTTTCTTCTTCTTTTGTTTTTAATTAATATTAAAATGTTAAATAAATGAATTTGTGCTCTTTTATTTTGGTAGGACTTCTCTCAAATATGTTATGTATTACATAAGTTATTTCTTTAGTGAAAATAATCGATTATGTGGGTAAATGTACTTTTTGACCTGTATTGTACCTGTACATTATTAAATTGTCATTGAAATTTTCTGCTTAATTAATGAAATATTGCGAGAGATTTTGTAAGAAATTTAGCAATATTTGGGAAAATGTAAAAGAAGTGTTATATATTAACAATGTATGTACGAATAGAAGCATTAGATAAATTATTGATTATATACATTTAATTGACCTGTTATATTTGCGAAGTATGCCTGCAGTACAATATAAAATTGCTAGTTTTGAGGATTTAAAACTGTTTTTACGAAACATTTGGTTTAAATAAAAATTTTTGAAATTTTCAAGTTATATGCGTTTAAAGCCAAGTCATTTGTGTTGATTATGACGAAAGAAGAATTTTGCATCATGATCATTTTTTTTGCTCAATAATTAGCAATATAGAAGATATAGAAAATGAACATCAAATTGTTTATAATGAAAAATTTTATTAAATTTTGTTTTGTCATATGGGCAGAATAGTGTGTCATATGAGAAAGGGTAAACAATTCTAATGAAAAGTTAGTAGACAGACGACAGTCAAACAACATTTTAAATTTTGCAACTGCAATAAGCCTCATTTAATTGATTAAATAATTCTACGAATCGTTGGTTTATCCTGCCTAACTGGTTCAATGAGATTTTCTTTAAATTTTGAAATTGTTATTAATTTTGAATAAATGCCTTGGAAAATGTTTATTGTTCCAAAAGATGATAAAATTCATATAGATTTCTATATAAGATGCGAGTTTTTGTTTTTTTACCAACCACATTGCATACAATAAGGGAGGTTATTTGATGACAAGAAATTTTGGATGTTTAATTATCGTTATTAATTAGCCGGAACAAATTTCATTGTAATTTAATTTTAAATTCCGGGTGGTAAAACTATGAACCAAAAATATGCATTTTTTGTCATATCTACAGAACTAAAATTGATGCAATAAGAGCATACAGGCGTTGTGTTTGAGTGAAAACATGATCATCTAACAAAATCTGTATAAGCAATCTTAGATATTTAAACCGTGTCTTCTGAACACTTTTTATATTCATTTATTTATTAAACATATATTTCGCATTAATTATTTAAATTAATTAATGTGAAAATTTTTCTACTTCTTGAAAACCTTCAATATTTTTTATGATTTAATAAAATTATTTTGATTTAGTGAAATTTATCTGTGTTGAGTTTTGGAATATTTTTTAAGAAACTTTGAAAGAAACTCCAGACTCTACCAGAAGGAAACTCGAATACAATACTTCTAATGTAACAATACAGATCATTAATTTTAGATATTTTTTCCAATAGAATTTTAAAAATAAATTTGTTTTAAATACAATTTTTCTGACATCTTGAAATTTTTAATCTCTTCGTTTTTTATTTTTTTTATTTTTTTAATTTAATTTTTCAGATACAAATACAAACAACATTTTGTAAACTTGTATTAACAGGATGATTCTTAATTTTGAAACCATATTGTTGTAGAAAATGAGTAAATTTTTTTTTAGAACTACGTGTTTAGCCAGAATTGCTTCCGAAAAGCTTGGTATATTAATAATTATTTAAGTTTCTGGTCATAAACAGATTTAAGAG